AGGCGGAGGAGAGGCACACAGAGAGAAGATGGCCTCTGTCCCCGCGTGGCGTCTAGCTCAGTTTTGTTTTCTCTGCACGGGGAGTCTGCTCTGCCAGGCGCGGCCGTCCAGGAGGGTCTCACAGGACTCCCTGCTGAGTGTGAGCTCCGTGCTTGTGAACCAGAGACCACATGGCGGGGCCCTGGGTCCCCCGGCAGCCTAGCCAGACTGTGCTCGCGGACGTAACTGGGTAGCAGGACACGAGACCGCTGGGACCCGGCCCGGGTCGCTGTTAGTACACAGCAGGACGCTGTCACACTGAGAGAGGTGGGACTCACTGGACAGAAACAGAGACTTGCTGGGAACACGTGTTCTAAATGGTGGTTGGAACTGAGCCAGGTTCTTCTTCAGAGCCCATAGAAACATGCTGCATCACAATTTGAAAGAAAAAGGAATCATTTATGAGCCAACAGGAATGGAAGAAGAGAGCAGTAGAAAAGAAATTACTAGTTGCTACTTCCTAAATACAGTACGTCATTAGAGGAGTAAATTCAAAATTTTTAAATACATATTTGCACTTTGGGAGAAAACTGTCGAAATGCTTTCACTGCAAATATGGATAATAATTATGGTGATAGAATTACAAGTAATAAAAATTTTTAACTTTGAATGTATTGAGTTGAGTGAAAAACTAGACCTATGTGACACAAGTTGACCTTACATCTAAAAGATGATCCAAAAAATAAAAAAAAAAAATAAGCCAATGCAATGTACATGCCTGGCAAGTAATCGTACAGAATACTTAGCCAAGCTGAGAGTCTGCATGAAAAGGGACCCTCAGAACCTCATTTAGAATTTGGAGCTGTTACGATGGTGGGAACGTAGAGACGCACGTGGTCCCTGAGACAAGGAGCCGGAGGGAGCCCACACAGCAGGGCCTGCTGCTCCTGCCAGGCCGGCGGGGCTGCTGTGACCAGGGGCCTTAATTACCCCTCTGGGAGGGTTGGCGGTGTAGACCGCGAGGCCGCCACCGCCCCTGTTCGTGCGTGTGGGAGGAAGACAGGCGGCTGGAGGAGACACCTGCCTGTTAATGCACTTTGTAATGGTGAAGTAGAAAGGTGTACTTGCTGTTGATATTTCTCAGATTCAAAGAAAAACCTCAAAATAATTCGGTAAGAAAGTCTACTCAGGATAAATAAGTTTTGTTAAGGTGCAAAATAATCAGAGTTACTTCTGCTTCTATTTCTGTTTTCTTTATTGAGATAACATCGGCCTCATGGCTGCTGGTATTTCAGAGGGCAGAATCCCTTCAGGTCGCACATCGGTGCCCAGCTCCAAACTGCCCAGAGTCCACTGCACACTCACGAGCCCTTCCCTGCCTTCCTCTCTGGGTGCTTCACCTCCACCTTCCACTTCAAGGGTTTATTTTCATATATGGCTTTTATTATGTTCAACTGATACCCAGTTATTCCAGGGTTTTCATCACAAATACATGATGAATCCTATCAAGCACTTTGTCAGAATCTATTGCTGTGATCATACGTATCTTCCCTTCTTTAATGGATGTGAATTATATTGATATTGGTCCATATTAACAAGCTGAACCATCGCTGTACTCCTGTTATAAACCCCACTTGGTCTTGGTGTATACTCTCTTTAATCCATTGTTGCACTGGGCTTGCTATGATTTTATCGAGGATTTCTGTGTCTTTGTTACCTAGGGAGTTTGGTCTGTAGTTTTCCTTCTTTGTGTTGACCTTTTTTTTTTTTTTTATGATTTTGTTATTAGAATAATGTTGCCCTCAAAATGTATTTGGGAAAATTCCTTCTTTCCTGATTTTTGTAGATGTCAGAGCAGGATAAACATTACTTCGTCTTAGAAGGTTAGGTAGAATTCACTTGTGAAACCATAAAGTAATGGACTTCTGTTTTGGGGAGTTTTGATTATTTTCAATTTCCTTGTTTATGATTGGTTATCGGGTTTTCTGTTTCTTCCCCATTCGGTCTTGGATGAATGGATCATTCTAGTGACTGTCCATCTTATCTGTTGTTGAACTTGTTGGTATATTAATGCTCCTGGTAATCTCTTACTACCCTTGGATTTCCGCAGTGTCTGTTGTGACTGCTCTTTCATACATGATCATACTATATTTAAGTTTTCTCCCTCGTTTCCTTTGTGAGCTAGATAGAGGTGTCTATTTTTATTTTTTCAAAGAACCAACTTTTGGTTGATTGATCATTGATCATTTGGACTGCATTTTCTATATCAATTTGATTTGTTTCTCATCTAAGTTTGATTGTTTCCTTCCACCTACTAAATTTTGGATATCTTGTTCTTTGCTTTTCCTGGTTTCTTGAGTTGGGAAACAAGGTTCGCTGGCCTCTTTCCAGTTTCTTTTGGGGGGCTCTATTGCTATCGACTGTTCCTCTTAAAACTGCTTTTTCTGGTTTATTTTGTGACTAGTATGTGTTTGAACTGGAAGGTGCCACCTGTGCACTTGAGGGAAGAAGACTGAGCAATACTCCGTGAAGATGGGGCTGGGTCACCAGAAGGCTGTCACTACTGGCACTGATGCTACTATTCTAACCTGGGATTTTGCTTTTGGTAACGACACTCTCAGATGTGCTAAAATAATTGAATTTATATTTTTGATGGGCAAATTTCATGATATGTAAGTTATATTTTAAAAAAACTTTAAAAATTAATTTTAAACAGTGTTTTCATGAAATTATGCAGGTTTATTGAAAACATTTTTACTTTTCCATAGAATCTACCATCAAACTGCTACAGGGCACCACAGTGTGAACTGGGCTGCCTGTCCTCAAGGGCGCTGAAAATTTAGTTGTACGGCAGGCACACACAAAAGAGTCAATAATGGGTTTATTTTCAAAAGGGGAAAGGAAAAGGAACAATCCAGGGAAAGAGAGAGAGACACAAGGTAACCAAAATATCTTACCAGCTTGGATGACTTGGGACTCTGGTAACAAACTAACTGATGGCACCCAGTGATATATGGTCTCGAGAGCCATTGCCCAGTTGAGAGAAAATGGTCCCTATTTATCCCCCAAAGTCCCAGAATGCCTTGGGTCTTCACAGTTCTCTCCCTGGTGCTGCTGGGAGTTGTAGTTTTCAGTCACTGGAGTAGGGAGTGGAGTCCACAACATTCTGCAGAGTTCCTTAGGACATCCTTCCCCTTAACAAAACTACATTATGCTCATCATGGTACCTGTCTGGACCCCTCGTCAGGTTCAAAAATGTAGGAATAAATTTAGATCCCCATCTAGGCATAACTGAATCAAAGTCAACTGAAACCACATCAGATAAACCCATGCTGCCTAACAAACCATGAATTGGGATAAATTGGAAACCCACATTTGTTCCAGTACATAGTTTCTTTTTTCTCTGAATCCTTTTCCTTTCCTGATACTGTCTTGACACCTCTCTCATTCCTCATCCATGGGTTAGTGTTGATCCCACAAAGAGCTGAGCCACAGTTCGTGGGCAAACACGTTATTGGAGGGAGGAGAAACACAGCTGGAGAGAGGAGAAAAGCATGCAGGGTGTGGGGACCGGCAGTCAAGCTGTTCTGTGAGATACAGGGGCCAGGAGCAGCTGTGGCCTCGGTGAGGCCTGGGAAGGTCTGAGATGGACTCAGCCTCATCCAGTCTGCGGGGCTGGAGATGGGCACACCCCCATCTCCGCGAGTCTGTCTCTGAGGGGCATCCTTTCCTGTCACTTCTGCCACCGCGTGTTCCAGCTGGTGCTAACCATTGACACTTATGTGACAGCTAGAGAACCTAGCACTGTAGATGCTCTGACACTCACTACTGCAAACAGTCACCACACCAGACGTCCCTGCAAACTCAGTCCATCAACATTCTTCTCAAAATTGAACAATTTGATGAACAGTTGTTGAAACTGTGGACCCACCACTTCTGAGGGCAGCATCAGAGAACCGTGGAAAAGAGTTTTAAAAACTTGAAATAGGCCCTCCTTGGTGGTGCAGCGGGTTAAAGCACAGCACTGAGACTCTAAAGCCACTTCCGCATGAGTTCGATTCCCGCCTGCCCCGGAGGTTACCACATGGCGCGGCAGACCTCTCCTGACCCGCCCGCTGCTCCCTTCAGCAATGTACTTCGTTGATCTGCTTGCTCTGTTCCCTACTCTGTCTCTGGTGAAGCCTCTCACCGCCCCTGAGCCTCTGGCCTGTACCCCAGTTCTGTATGCACAAATAAATCTTTAAAAAAAAAAAACTTGAAATAATATTTCAGTAATAAATTTATTGCATGTCACCCGACCTTGGTTACTGTACCACACAAGGGCAATAAGAAAGATGGGCTGAGTAGAAGGTGAGATGGGAAGGAGGAAAGAAGAAAAGTGGAAGGGAAGAGAGAGAGGGAAAGGGTGATCACAGAGAATGAAGCCGCTCTCAGTGCTCCCCGCTGGAATGTAGGTACACAGCAACAAGCCACCTGTCCCATCTAGAGTCCTACCTTCAGGTTCATTTCAAGTCACTGTTCACATGAAGCTTAGTGCAAAGGTTCTTGAGAGCTGTGTCAGGTGCGCGTCTCACCCATCCCACTTAGACTCTTCTGAAAAGAGTCTAAGAGGTGGGTGAAGAAAACATCAAAGAACATGTTCAGAAGAGTTGGATACATGTAAAGAAATTATGATTTTAGTCATATTTTATATTTTTTATTCATGGAAAAACATGTACAATTCAGTAGGACAAAAACCTTCAACATTTGAAGCCAGTTGTTAAGGAAACCCTATCTGCACCCTATCAGTGCTTCAAACCTAAGGCTGCAAGGCTCATGGGAATGCTGACCAGATAAGCCCACAGGCTCCATAAAGGGAAAAAACAAACACACGCAAAACAATGAGTCAGTCAATGAGAACTAACTGATACAAAATAAAAAGCATATAAGGGAAATGATATTTTTAAAATGAAATAAACATCTACGGGAGTAGTTAGCATATTGAGATTTGCAACAACTGCCCTCTGGACCCACAAAGTTCACTAACTGCTGAGCCCCGAGACCCACAATGGACGAGAGGCTGCTCTGCTGAGCAGCTTTCCCAGGGCCCCCTTCACATCCCTGTTCCTCAGGCTGTAGATGAAGGGGTTCAGCATGGGGGTGACCACCGTGTACATCACTGAGGCAACCGAACTTTCCTCTGAAGACTGGGTCGCAGCGGAACTGAGGTAGACGCCCAGGCCGGTCCCGTAGAACAGGGAGACCACACAGAGGTGGGACCCGCAGGTGGAGAAGGCTCTGTGCTTGCTGGTGGAGGAGGACATCTTCACTAAGGAGGCGGCGATCTGAGAGTAAGAGCAGAGGATTCCAGCAGCAGGAACCACAACCAGTAAGGCCGTGAACACATACAAGCAGATGTTGTTGATGAAGGTGTCAGAACAGGCTACTTTTAGAATCTGGGCCAGCTCACAGAAGAAATGTGGGATTTCCGTGCCAATAGGGAATTTCATCTGCATAATCAGAAGAATATGAACCAGGGAAACCCACAAAATGGTGAACCAGCACATGAGAACCAGGAGGCCGCAGAGCCGGGGGCTCATGATGACCATGTAGTGCAGGGGGTGGCAGATGGCCACGAACCGGTCGTAGGCCATCACGGCCAGGAGGA